ACCTGGGTCCCTCCAATATTTTATTCAAGTTGGTTCCCCTGCTGGGGCAGCAGCCTAACAGTTTGGGGGCTTGTTTTTGTTTTCTGAGGTGGGAGACTAACCAAAGCCACAAGCCATAAATTATTCCCTGCTTGTGCTGTGGCCTGCCAAGCTGAATAAAGCAAAACATTTTCCAAAGTGACACCTCCACCATGCCTTTGTGTGCTCTAGAGCACTGAGCCAAACAGACTGATGCCTCGTTCATTTCTTCTGCACACACTGGCCTCCCAGAGGGAAAAGGGTACCATGCTCACTGTAAGTAACATTATCAAGAAGAACATTATCTGAAGGTTCTACAGGACATTTTTATTATTTTTTTATGTATTATCAAGAACAGGGGGAGAATATAGACTCCTCAGCCTTCTCCTTGAAACTATTATTGAGAAACTCCACCCACCCTCAGGAAAGGACTATATAAGGATATAGATGATATAGCTAAAGGACAGGAAAGAAGCAAGCCAAAAGAACCTCTGGTTTTTAAAGTCTTGGTTTCCAAGTCCATGCCACACAAGAAGATATTTCAAAGTTCTCTCAACTTTGTCATACTTGAATATCATTCCTGAAAGCCAGGTTGCAGGGGCAGTTGAAGTTTCAACCAACTTCCACTGGATTCAAGGCTACCATTCTCAGATTCATATGTAACAATAGCCACCCACGAATTCAGGTTTCAAACTAATGAGAGTCCCGCTATAGCAACAAGGACTTGCTCTAGCACAGCAGGGCTTTCCCCTGCTCCTTGCACCATTCGCCTCTGAAATTAGTCACGGTGGGGTCTGGAGAATCCCCAGAAACAGCATGAAGGGGAAGGGGGGTGTTGTTCCATCTGGCAAGCTAAAAAAGGTTTGCACTGACATTACAATTGCCATAGCACTAGGTTGAATTCCTCCCCATGTCCAGACTACCTACACTGATTTCATGGCTCAACAAATTCTCCAAGTTGTCCGGAACACAAGCAACCAACCTTCCAACAGGCTGTCCCACAGCCTGACCTGGCCACTTTTCCTGCAGTGTTTCAGATACTATCTCAAGGTGGTCAGGATGTAAAAAGCCCCAATGCTTGTGGAGGGCATCTCTCTGTCTTCCTCTCCTGCCCCTTTGTCATTGCTATGCTCAATTAATCTAACCTCAGTAACAATAATAGTACTGAACAAAGACACAACTCTCTGAGAACCTCACAGACCAACCAATGAGGAACCTCACAGGTTTGTTGCAAGGCTAACGTAACACTCCCACATTTTGGGAGAATGTGTAAGCTATTAACACAATGAATAATATTCAGAGACTGTTGTCTTGGGTGTAATCCTCAGATATTAAGAAGAAAGAATTCCAGGATTTCTAAGCAATACCTACTGCTGGCACTCTTGGGTTGAAGGTGAGTTCACATTTTTCTGTCTTTCTGAAATCATTCTCTGCTGTGATAAATGGCTCAGGGCGGACTGCCAGCCCTGAACACAAGAGCTTTATTGCTATATTTATGTAGCCGGAAAGGAAGGGAGTTTCTGTCATCAATGTTCACCTCATCCTATAAGCCTGTGTTTCTCAAACCTGTGTCCCCAGCTCTTGTTGGACTACAACTCCCATTATCCCTAGCTAGCAGGACCAGTGGTCAGGGATGCTATAAGCTGATAGGGTCCCCAAGGCAACTCACCTCTCACTCCATTTGTTTTCCCTTTCTTTCTCTCTTGGCTCACCTACCTTCAACCACAGACTTAACTCCTGGACTTCCAAACTGTCTAACTTTAGTTCCTTAGTTTAAATCATTTCCTCACTTCCCTGGAGAGAAAGCGCCTACAGAAAACAAGGAAGAGGTCTGTAAAGGAAAAGAAATTCTCCTGAGGACAGAAGGCAGATTGCAATTCACTGAACAACTTCTGGTGAACCACCTACCATCTGGTGATTGCTAGGACACCAGCAAAAGTAAATGAAAATGCTGGACTAGCTGGCCTTGGTTTAATCAAGACGGTCCTTTTTAAGCAAACGTGAAATATTTGAAATCACAAAACTGGTTAATTAACTGTTATGAGATCCTAAGAGTACCCTCTTCCTTTGCGAATTTAGCAAACATCATTGGACCACAGGACCCTAGTTTTTTAAATTAAGCAAATCAGAACATACAAGACTGAAGTCAGCCAGCCCTTATCTTAACACCAGCAGCACTTGATCCTGTATATAATGCTATTAACTTGCTTCCAATACTGCAATCTCAGCTCTTCCATGGACAGCAATAGCCACAAAACTAACAAAACCAGGAGGTATGTACTAGCAGAATCATCATTATTGAAGGAAAGCAAACCTGAAGTTCAACACTATGTGGAACAGGGCAAGAAGGGATTGTGCAAGTTAGTTAACTGTGTAAAGAAGGCACATGATACAGCTCTGCTGTTCAAGCTGAATAGGTATGTCCCTGTAAACTGTCTGGATGGCTGAGTAGATAGGTGAATTGACAGATACATAAAATAAACTGCATCAGGTATTTGTGTGCCATAGACTTCCATGGCAGAAAATAGTGCAGTGGAACCTCGGAAGTCGAACGTAATCCATTCAAGAAGGATGTTCGACTTCCAAAACGTTTGAATTCCGAGGGATGGCTTCTGATTGGTTGACAGCTAGGCTTTCTGCAGATTGGAAGCCGCATTGGACGTTCAGGTTCCAATGAACATTCAAAAACCAGAACACTTACTTCCAGGTTTTTGATGTTCAGGAGCCGAAACATTCGGGAATGGAGCGGTTCGAAAACCAAGGTTCCACTGTACAGTCAAATACAACCTTATCTCCTCGTCTATTCACAATTACCCTTGAATACAAAGTCTTGTAGTACCTCAAAGAGTTACAAATTTATTATGGCATAAGCTTTCATAGACAAGTGTCTACACATCAGATGCATCCTAAACTGGCAGTATATTACACAGACACACACAGACACACTAGGAAAAAAGAGATCTAAATCTCCCTGTGGGGAATAAAGGTGTACATTCCTCCATCTAAAGCAACCATTGAGGACCTGTTATTGCACCCATGTTCCTCTATAGGTCTATCACTGCCTTGATAAAGAAAGAGAAAACCAAGAGCGGCCACAGAACCAGAGTACCAGAAATTATTCACCCTCAACTTCTGCCAGCACTGAAGTCACCCTGAGGCTCCCCACAGTGCCTTGTGCTTCACAAACAGGCAACCAGACGCATTTTAGTTATTTGTTGCCCGCTAGCATTTAAGGGAAGAAAGGGTGGAGTGGCAGGAAGAGAGAGAATATTTTGGTTTCAAAAACTGCTGCTCAAGTTTAAATGAGCTGCAACTGGAAGGGCTCACTCAAGAACCATTCAAGCAACAACAATAACCATTAGGCTGCATTCCAAAAACATTAGCTTGAACTTTCCAGTGAGCGGTCAAAAGGGAGCAAAGGCAGGAAGCAAATGGGGGGGGGGGGATACATGCAAGAAAAATCACAGCACATCTGCCAAGGCTCCTCCCATCAAAAGGAAGATACTGTTTCCTTCCTTTCCATAAAGCACACTGCAAACAGCAGAGGGTGGATGGGACTGAGATTTAAGCATGCGCTGCTACTTATCCACTAAGGATCTGTTCCCACAAACATGTTTCCTCCCACGCTTGCAACATGAGAGCTTCCTGAGAAGTCTCAGGCTTATTCAGGCAGACACCCTCAAGAAAGAGATTAGCTTTGCTAATCTGAAAGCAAAATTCTCTCTCCTTGCTCTTCAGTATTAAAGTCCAGCTTAATATGCATTTGGGCTTCTTCTTGGCAAGCCTCCAGCTCCAGACCTCTAGCCCTTATAATTACAGAAACCATTCTTCTTTCTCAGAATCCCCAGGCAAAGGTGCGTCCCCACAAAAACTGAGACCTATTGTCAGCCTGTGCACAGTCTATTTGTCCTCCACAGAGCTAGAAATGTGCTGCATTTCAGTATTCTCCAAAGACAGCTTCCGAATATCCAAGACTAAAAGTTCTGCCCTGATGTTAGACTTGCAAGATCCTGAAAATACCATATATACCTGTCTTCCCTATTCTGGAGCCCTCCAGATGTTTTGGCAGAGCTGAAGGTAGTTGGACCCAAAAACATCTGCAGGGCGCCAGATTGGGAAAGGCTGGTCTGTAATGTGTAGCAATATAGCTGAATGCCGATCAACTATCAAATTCATTCCCAAATAGACACACACAAGATTGTACTTCAAATCTTCCCACAAACAAAAGTGGCTCACATCCAACTAAAGCATCCTCACTTTCTTTCTTTCTTTTTCTTTTTTCTTTATTTACTGTATGCTCTGTGAAGCTAAGTCAGTGCAGGTAAGTAACGCAATGAGTATACAAAGGTAAATGATGCTACACTTATAACCCAACATCTATAAGCAGAATACAGTATAGCAATAGTAACAAACATTCCATCCGCTTAAAAGTTCACCAGGATAGTTTGGGGGAGGGGTTATCACTGTTAAAATTATGAGACTTGAGAATCCGAACCATCAATTAGCATTAACACTCATTTATGAGCTGCCTTAAAGCCACTGGTTCATCTAGCACTATGTCCAGTACTCAAAAGGTTTCCAACAGGGGTCTTTCCCACCCTTACCAGCAGATGCAAAGGAACAACCTGCTTGCAAATGAGGCTCTCTGTCATTGTGCTAGGGCCCCTCACATTTTGATAGCTGAAGTACACTTTTTGCTGAATTATAATTGGAGGCACATTCCAAGTCTGCAGCTCAAAAAGTTTGTAAGAGTATACATTCTCATCTTTCTGCGTTTCCTAATAAGTCACTGATCTGAGTGTGTTTTCAGAATAGAAGGACAAGGCCAGAACAGTTTATCATGCAGAGACACAGCAGACAGATTCTCCTAGTAGACTCATGGGAGCTTCTACTCATATAATCACAGACTCATAGAATTGTAGAGTTGGACGGAACCCTGAGGGTCATCTAGTCCAACTCCCTGCAATGCAGGAATATACAGATGGTCATATGGTGATCAAACCCACAACATTGGCATTTTCAGCACCATGTTCTAACCAACTGAGCTACGAGTCATTCACTATGTTAGCAAAATGAGTGCTATAGCATGTGGGCACATTTGTAACCAAAAAAGGGGGGAGAACAGAGTGGGAAAAGGCTATCTATTGGGGGTTTAGGGTCCACATGATCACCCACATCGCCACCCCCACTGCAAGCCACAAAAGCTCACAGAGGCTGAGGACTAGTGACTTGTTTAAGGATGCTTAGTAAGTTTGTAGCAATAGGATTTCAAGCAGCTCTCTTAACCACAATATTATACTAGCTCTCAAAATAGATAATAAAAATGACCATTACAATTAAACAACAGTATATTCTACTATCAACTATTTCACTGTTGAAACATATCCTACAGATTCATATTGTTAAACATCTACCTATTTCACAGATCCACACACTGAAGTATATGGACAACCTTGATTTTGAATAACACTTTATTCATTCATTCATTCATACATACATACATACATACATATTCAGGCTACCAGTATGGTATGGACATACACATTTTTAGTAGTCTGCAGAAAAACATTCCCTACAAACAAATGTATGCATGTGCTTCGTTTGCTAAAAAGCTACTTGTCTAGCTTTTTAAAAACTTGAAGCTAATTATTAAAAGCTTAGCCTTGCCTTGACTTGCTAAGAAGCTCCCATTTGTTTATCAAAAAAAGAACCTTTTAAACTAAGTTATGTAGAGCAGAGATGGAGTGAAAGAGAATACCATGTCTTCATCCCAAGTTAACTCCAAGAAAAAGGAAAAAGTAAGATACATAGTGTACAATATATGCCATGCTATCAATCAGAATGAGTACAGCAGATTGACACTGAAGATCTATAATCTGATTCTGGTAGTCTCGCACTCTACCTCCCTGAAAGTTACCGTATGTCTGTCTGTCTCTCTCCCTACTGCTCCTGTCATGTGAACTCAACCAATTCAAAGTAGCTTCACTTTAGGATGGGGAATGTGGAAGATGGTTACACATTCATCTATCACAAGAATGGGCAATCCGTTTTGCCTCCACCTCTATAATGGTGATAATCTGCTGTACCCTTGGTTTGTAGGGCTGTTGTCCCACCATGAAGTATATTTCTTCTGAAAGGCAAATCAAGCCCTCCCTCTGTTCCACTACTTCTGGTGGAAAAATGGGAGTGTACAGATGAAGAAGAGACCATTAGAACAGCAACAAGAAAGGGAGTGCGGCAATGCATTTAACAGTTACATATACTGTCCCACTCATTTGTCGTTAAAATATATATTCAGCTTTGAAATGTACAGTGGTACCTCTGGTTACGTACTTAATTCGTTCCAGAGGTCTGTTCTTAACCTGAAACTGTTCTTAACCTGAAGCACCACTTTAGCTAATGGGGCCTCCCGCTGCTGCCGCGCCGCTGGAGCACGATTTCTGTTCTCATCCTGAAGCAAAGTTCTTAACCCGAGGTACTATTTCGGGGTTAGCAGAGTCTGTAACCTGAAGCGTATGTAACCTGAAGCATATGTAACCCGAGGTACCACTGTATTATTTAACCCTTGCTACCTCTGTGGCCTCACCCGTATTAAAATGCTAACATGTAAACTGCTTGGGATGGAGACCTGGCCTTTTGTATTACTCTGTAAGCTGTGTTGTTGTTGCTGCTGCTGTTGTTTAGTCATGTCCAACTCTTCGTGACCCCATGGACCAGAGCACGCCAGGCACTCCTGTCTTCCACTGCCTCCCGCAGTTTGGTCAAACTCATGCTGGTAGCTTCGAGAACACTGTCCAACCATCTTGTCCTCTGTCATCCCCTTCTTCTCGTGCCCTCCATCTTTCCCAACATCAGGGTCTTTTCCAGGGAGTCTTCTCTTCTCATGAGGTGGCCAAAGTATTGGAGCCTCAGCTTCAGGATCTGTCCTTCCAGTGAGCACTCAGGGCTGTTTCCTTAAGAATGGATAGGTTTGGTCTTCTTGCAGTCCATGGGACTTTCAAGAGTCTCCTCCAGCACCTTAATTCAAAAGCATCAATTCTTCGGGCAAGATACAGAATGAAGAAAACAGCAGCAGACACCCTGAATTTGAACAGGTGAGCACACAAGATCGCATCCTTGTGTTGCACATGAATTAACCTAGAGCCGCCATTAGCACCTGCCCACACACCCCTCCAGGACTGAACCCATACCGAAAGTGATAGTGTCTGGATGGATGGGCTCACTGTTCTTATTCCTCTTTGACCTTACTTTTGTACATACAACCCCAAGACTGGAGTAACTTAGTAACTAGAGCATCCATTCAGGTAGCCCATGTAGTGGCACTCAGAGCAGAAACAAAAAAGGGCAAGATCAGGGATGGTCAATCTTTTGAACCACACTTACCTCCCCTACAACATACCAGCGAACCCCAAAAGTCTTAGCAGAAGCATGCATAGGCAAGGAACAATTTCCTGAGGACTAGTTTCTATTCCTTTTCTCCCTCCCCCACAACATACCAATGAACCGCAAGCAGCTTAGCGCTGGCATACATATAGGCAAGGGAGGAATAACAATAATAATAATAATAATAATAAAGTGGTTTCCCCAGCCACTTTTCGGAGGACTAGCAGGTTTCATGGGCATTCCCAAGGTTGGGCTTTCGTTTATTTCCGGGAGTGTGGAAGGAGAAAAAGAAATGCAAAGGCAAGGGAACCTTTGGAATCATAGGCACTATATGGAAGGGTCGAGCTGGACGGGACCCAGAGGATCACTTGGTCCAGGCCCCCTGCAATGCAGGAATCTCAACCAGATCATCCCTGGAAACCTCCAAGGGAGGCGAGTCCGCCACTTCTCGTGGGAGCCTGTTCCGCTGCCGAACAGCTGAGCGACTTAGGGAGGGGTGGGGTTGGCCACCCTCACACCCCCCGCTCGCCAGCCGCTGAGCCCCGGGCTAGGAAGCCCCGCCATCCCCTCGACCCCGGTCGGCTGCTGGTGCGCGAACCCGCCCGCCTTCCCCCTCGCTTGCCCTCCTCTCTCCCGTCGCCCCTCACCGGTTAATGCGGTGCGCGAAGGCCCTCCGCTCCGCAGCCGCCATTCCGCCTTGGCGTCGCCCGCGCCCGGCGCGCCTTCGGCTCCGGGGTGGCGTCCCTCAGAAGGTGTCTGGGCGCCCCTCCGCTTCTCCGGCGCAGCCTCGCGCCAGGGAAGGAGCGGCCGGCGGAGGAGGAGGAGGAGGAGGAGGCGGGACCCCGTCCCCGAAGCCCCGCCTCGGAGGCCAGGGCCGCCCCTGGCGGCTGAGGAGGCCGAGGCAACCCCAGCCTCTCTCTTTCCCTCGCTCGCTTTCTCCCGTCGGCCTCGGGATCGTTGCCTGAGGGAGGGCGGGAACGGCGCGAGGCAGGATGGGGCGGCCTTCTTTCCTTCCCTCAGGTGCCTCAGGTTGTCTCGGTGGCAGGGCCGGCCCGCCCTCGAGGCGAGCTGAGGTGGCTGCCTCAGGCGGCAGGGTTCGCAGGAGCAGGTGCGGACTCTGGTTATAGGGCACCCTTCGCGAGGACAAGTTTCATATTCAAAATATTTTATATTTTGATTTTGTTCTGTGAACCATCCTGAGACTTCCAGGTATAGGGCGGGATAGAAATGCTCTATATATTGAATTTATATAGTCATATCTCGAGTTGAAGTAGCTTCAGGTTAAGTATTTTTGAGTTGCGCTCTGCGGCGACCCGGAAGTAACGGAGCGCGTGCATTCCGCTCGTGCATGCGCAGACGCTCAAAATGATGGCATGCACATGCGCAGAAGCAGTGAATTGTGATGCACGGTCGCGGGTTATGCTCTGCTCAGGATGCGAATGCGGCTACGGAACGGATCCTGTTCACATCCAGAGGTACCACTGTACTGTATTGCCTTATACCCTATTACATACATACATGTATATATAGATATATATACACACACATACACAGTGCTTTTTTTCTTTAAAAATGTTTAGGGGCACTCTCATTTTCCTATTCATATTGAAATACTGCCCCTCAATGAGGCCAAACTTAGATTTTCAAAATGTTTAGGGGTATGTGTACCCTTTCGTCCCACCAGGAAAAAAGCACTGGGGTGGGTGGGTGTACACACACACACACACACATATATATATACCACCCTTTATATATCTATATATACCACCCTTTATATAGCAATATATATACAGTGGTGCCCCGCAAGACGAATGCCTCGCAAGACGAAAAACTTGCTAGACGAAAGAGTTTTCCGTTTTTTGAGTCATTCCGCAAGACGAATTTCCCTATGGGCTTGCGAGTTTGTTTCCTTTTTCTTAAAGCCGCTAAGCCGTTAATAGCCGCTAAGCCGCTAATAGCTGTGCTTCGCAAGACGAAAAAACCGCAAGACGAAGAGGAACGGATTAATTTCGTCTTGCGAGGCACCACTGTAACAGCCTGGTTGCTGATTTGCTACCGTGCCAAGTTACTGTTAGCATGTAAACCACATAAGAACCTGGAGCCGGTTTACCTACAAGATCGCCTTACCCCACAAAAACCCATTCAACTGCTTTGATTGGTGGAATTGGCGCTACTACAGGTGCCACGTAATAACCGTTCTGCATTTGTAAGAACAGGATGATTTAGTGTGGCAGCACTTGGGAACTCCCTGTCCATTAGAGCTCAAGCAGGTCTCTAACATCAGGGCACAATGAAAGTATCAGATTCTATCTGTCTGACTTTAACCCGGAAGTAACTGCAAGGGTGGCTGAGTTTTTGTCAATAGTATCTCTTAGAGTGGTATCTCTAAGTATCTCTTAGAGAAACACCAATGAAAATCCTCGTTATTACATATTTTACATGGCTGTTTATTTGTATATACTCTTTACAATTGTATATATGGATGTTTTATGATGCCCTATATTTGTAATGCCTAATAAAGGTTTGGCAAAGTAAATGATCAAGGAGGCACCTTCATTGTACGTTTTTCGGCACCTGCTAAAAAACACACTCGTTTAGAGAAAAATACCCAGATTCTTAGAAAGCCAGGATAATTTTAATCTGCTTTAGTATTTTAACTTTTGTGAGTTCTAAAAGTATGGTTGTGATGTTTTCTTGATTTTGTTGTTTTATCTTTGTGTAAACCGCTTTGAGGTATCTTTTTACAATCATGTCTCCTAGTGGAGACTTATCAAGCAGACCCTGCCTTTGAGCACTCTTTCTCACTTTTATCTAATTATCCAAATTAAAGCTTCAGTTCTTGGCTTCAGAGCTGGGCCTAAGTTTTGATCGCTGGCATCTTTTAAACTTATTTTTTAAAAAAAAACAACACAATTCTGTTTCTATTTTCTTCTTAGGATTTGCCTCAAGTCAAATGTCTCCACTAGATGGAGACTTAACCATTAAAATGCTTTAAATTGTTCACATAGCAACAGTCAGTCAAATGTAAAACTTGTAGACTAGTCACAGAGATAGATAAATAATTACATGGGATCCAAATCAAAGTTTGCATTCAAGTTTAAATGCAAGTTGTTAAACTAAAAACATTTGAATTGTGAAAACTAAATTTCACACGTATGCAAGCTTCATGACAGCTCTTTTAAGCTTGTATCTAAAGTAAAATTGCATGTACTATTTTACTAATAGTCTTAAATATGAGTTATAAAAATAAGAATATATGTTAAATAACTCCCTAGACTAGAAGATATTTTGAGTTCAGTTGTCATATTTATTTTCATTTTTAAAAAATGGTTGAAAGGGTGGAGAAATCCCCAGCAGCAGTCATTCAGGTGTGTACTGAAACACCTGTGCATTTCTGAATCCCTTTCTAAATCCAGGTTGTCAGGTGTTTTACTTTTTATACCAGAAGCCTGTGTGTAAATCATTTTCCATCTCTATTCGTAACAAAGCTTGGTTCTCATGCTCTCCTCCTCCTTACCTGGGATATTAGTTTGGTTATAGGGGATTCCATATGTATAAATGCCCAATTAGCATTTAGGATTCAAATTATGAGTTTCCTACACAACATCCTTTTTAAAAATGGGGTGTTGGAAGTTTCTGCTGTTATAGGAATTCTAAGGTCTCATATATATATATATATATATATATATATATATATATATATATATATAAAATGTTCATAAATTTACAAGGCAAACACATACATAAGTATATAAACCATGTGTCTGAAATAGTACAGGAGAGCAGTCCTGAAACCATTTTGACTCTCCCAAACTGACCTCAAATATTTCTCTGCAAGGAGGAAGGAAATGGGTGTCTTAAGGGTGTATGTGTGTATGAATAGGGTGAGCCTGTGAGCTGGATTCAGGAATTAAAGCATTTAAAGCATTTACCATCACAATATCCATAAGGGAAAGGGAGCCGTTTTTTCTTATGACACTACCCTAAAAGGAACACCCTGTGTCATCATTACATTCGTGGTGATGCACAGCACACTCCACAATGGCATCTACCACAGAGGCATGCAACGACAAACTGGAATGCATCAACCACATTCATTAACCACAACTTGTGTGTCACCTTTTTACTGTAACGTTATATGGGTGTCAAAGTGCCTCTTGTATAGGGACTGACTCTATAAGGCCCTGGGCCCTTCACCCAAATAAAATGTTTAGAGGGGGCATACACCACAATCTTTTCTGCAAGTTGGCAACTTCCTCCCTCACAACCGTGGGCAGCCACCTCCCCACTAGCCGGAAGCTGCCCTCTTTTCCTGGCTTGGCTCCCCACAGCGGAAGGTGGTGTGGGGAGAGAAGAGCAGGAGGGGGAGAGGCCCCTCCCCATATTTTGTTCAAGTTGGTGCCTATGGCCTCTTGTGCTCATATATTTACAAAGCACCTTTCACATTGCCTCTAGCTGTAATGTGAGCAATAACAGTCAGAATTTCCAAAGTCTGATAAGATATTTGGGTGCAGCTCTTCTGGGGATAGCCAAGCCACTTGGGTGCAAATATAAACCAGCAGTCACTTTGGTTCTTTGGGTTTTGGAAATAAAGGGTTAAGGAACTGTCTCATCTCCCGGGACTGCTATGCAATCGCCTCCCTCTTTCCAGGCTGGGAGTTAAGGAGCAAAGAGGAGAAGAGACAAAACTGTCGCAGAACCAGGTGCAGGGCAGGGAGAGAAAGTACAGCTCTAGGCAGCAGGAATATGGGTGCCTGTTAAGTAGCTGGCCACACCCTGGAAACCAGAAGCACAGGTGGTGCTGGGGGCACGGCGGCACATTTCATAGCTGAAAACCATCTAAAGGTAAGTTGAGTAGAACAGCTGCTTCACCTGGATACGTTGAAATGAGTGCAAAGTGTTGAATTTCTACCGAAAGACGTGCTGGGCCAGATCTAGAGCGCCCGGACACAAAGAAGGGCAGCGAGGCACCTCCATGTTTAAGAGCTGTATGATAAGACAAAAATCGGCAGGAGTTGCCAATGAGTTTTAGTGAAATAGCTTCATGGACACTGTGATTCAAGGCACAGTACCCACTCTGCCCAATCCTACATCTAATCTGATCTCTGGTTGACATGGATTGTTATCACATGGATAACTGCTTTCCTTTACCTAAGGATGGGGGTCCCATCAGAAGCTGGTTAATAAAGGCAAGGCTATCCCCCATCCAGGTGGCAGCAAGGGAGGACTGTAAAACTGAACTGATATGTGGTATGTCAGTGTTTCTTGACACCAGTATCTGGCCTCCGGAGCAGTTTAAGGTGCTTGTGAGATTGCCAACTCTCAAGTAGAGTTACCAGCTTCCTTCCCAGCCCCTGTAGATGTGCCTTTAATAGTAGCTTTACCTGCAGATATTAACAGGTGATAATGTTCATCACATTGCTTTGTTAAGTTTGACCTGCTGATTTCTGCAGCTCAAACAAGTAGAAGTGAGGGGTGCAAATCAAGCAGCCCTACTTTGAAGTTCTCAGGGTCCTTTCCTTTCTCAGAGTCCTGGTCTAACTTGGGGAATCAATGCAGTAGTTGGGGTGCTTTAGGTTAAGCCTGGCTGGCTCAGGGGAGAGATTGAACTAGCAGTTTCACAGAGACGCGCCCTCTCTTTCTTCAAATAGATGGGATCAGGCTTGAGGACTTACTGTCCAGAATTATTCTTCAGTCAAGAGTTTGGTTAATGTTTGCTTGCAGCATACTAAGACTTCAGTCAATGATTGTGTAGCCCAGTCAACCGTTGCAGCTTTAGACTTCTAGCTACAGAGCTAAAGTTGGTGATTAGTCAGCATAAAAGTTCTAAACAGAACTCAGCAGGGACACTTCATGAGGAACTGAGGTTTATATGCACCTGCACCCCAAAACGAGCTTTGTCGCCCTCATATCATATATCTTCATAACTGGCAGACTTTCCCCTTTGAGATCCACAACCATTCTCAGCAATGAAAATAATTGGTTTTGCACACCTGGATGCACATGACATTTTACAAATAAGTAACTGGGAGTGTGCAAGCCAAACTAAGGTTTGGGCCACTCCATATCGTACCCCTCCTACAGGAGAGAGTCCTCTACATGTGACAAAGAATTGTGCTTGGCCCAGTGCTTTGTTTAGTTACAAGATACCATCAAGCACAGCATCTCATGTCTACTATAGCCTGAATATGTATACATGGATAAGGAACTGGATTGTGCACCCCACAATAAGCTTTGGGCCAGAATTCTCTGGCTATGGCAATATGCAATGGGCCAAAGCTTTAGTAGGGGTACTGTTCCTTTTTAAGTTTTCCGATGGAGCTGTACTCCAATCTCTTATACAGATAACAAACTAGGAACTGTAATCTTGTCCCATAGATTCTATTAGGTTCATAGGAGCCAACTTCTAGGGGCCAAGGGGTCTTCAGCCCCCCCCAAATATTTGAGGGTGCTGCTCCCCCCAAAGTTGATGGGCATTGCTATTCACCAGCCACCACTGAAAAGCACCCAGTGGTCTAGCAGGGAAGGCTATGAATGATGGCATGGCTGCGATGGGCCAGTGAAGGACTCTTCTAAGCCACTGGGCCCTCAGCTAGTGCCCAGTCTGGTCCTAACCGGTTTGCCTGCCTCATCACTGAGTCATCCCATATAGCCCCAATATTGCAAGGAGCAGATATGTAATTCTCTCAGTAGCAGTTTTAAGGGTTGACATTTGTGTGAGTTTAGTGAGGTGTTTTAAGAGTCCGTCAAGGGAATGCAAGTTAGGGGAATGTAAAGTCAGGGGGAGGGAAGGCTGGGTCAAAGTCTGTGGGAATAGTTCATATGCAGGCCAAGGAGCCAAAGTTGGAGAACAGTAGTTTTGGCAACTAGCAGTGGTAGCCCCCAAAATCTCCTAGGCTAGGGGTGAGGAAGCTCTGCCCCAAATGTAGTCCCCTAAGCCTGTCTGTCTTGCCCAGGGACTCCCCACATCATGCTCCCATACCAGCTGGACCCACTCTTCCCAGACCACACCCCACTGACCCTGATTCACACCTTCCTGTTGTGTTGTGGCTATTTTGAAATATTTTTAGATGTTTATGGTGCCTCTAAATGCTCTTAAAACCTTTTAAAATATGTTTGAATTTTGGCATTCATTGCATTGTTTTTACCACTTCGCTGTTTGCTGCCCTGGGCTCCTTTGGGAGCGTGGGCGGATTAGAAATGTAATTAATAAAATGCTATAAAATAATGCATAGTTCCACTCCAAGAGACCCTGCGAAAGGACGCTTCCTTTGTCAGGCCTCCAAGCCAGGCACCCAGTTGAGGCTTTTGCTTCCTGTTCTGCAGGATGCACCAAGTGTGCTCAGCAGCGAAGGCTCCTGGTGGAGATTCCTCTGAGAAACCAAAGCCAGGCACTTCCGAGAAAAGAACAGTTGCTGCTGTGCTGCTAAGCAACAGCTTCGGCTTGTCTTCAGCAACAAGGAAAACAAGGGCCCAAGCTGAGCAACAAAAGGACACTAGCAAAATGGCCCAGCAAAGCAGCAAATACAATTGTTGCCAGCAGTCTGGTGGCAAGCTGTCCTCACCCCCTTGGAGACCCCAATCCAGAACCAAAACACTCCATGTCTGGATTTAGGTACAGCCACTACAGCCTTGACTGAGGGGGTCTTACAGCCGTTCAGAAATCTTCCAAGGAAGATACGGGGAGGCTTGACACATGTGAGGGCTAGAACTTAGCTGTTTGCCTTGCTTTCAGAGTTGCTGTGCAATAAGCACGTAGGAGGGGACGCGGGTGGCACTGTGGGTTAAACCACAGAGCCTAGGGCTTGCCGATCAGAAGGTCGGCAGTTCAAATCCCCGCGACGGGGTGAGCTCCCGTTGCTCGGTCCCTGCTCCTGCCAACCTAGCAATTCAAAAGCACGTCGAAGTGCAAGTAGATAAGTAGGTACCGCTCCGCCAGGAAGGTAAACGGCATTTCTTTGCACTGCTCTGGTTCGCCAGAAGCGGCTTAGTCATGCTAGCCACATGACCCGGAAGCTGTACGCCGGCTCCCTCGGCCAATAAAGCGAGATGAGCGCCGCAACCCCAGAGTCGGTCACGACTGGACCTAATGGTCAGGGGTCCCTTTACCTTTACCTTTAAGCATGTAGGAGGCCAATACGTGATAACTAATCTGATGTGTGCAGACAACTACACAGACACTTGGTATAACGTCCCTGGCTCTGAAATGGTTTGTAGCAGGTTGGAAATCCCAGGGAAGGGATACCAATTGAATACAGGAGTGGCAAGACAAAGTCAAAAGGAAAAGGGAGGCCTTGACAAACTTACTGGGGGGTGGCGATAGCAGTGATGTTACTTGACCAACTTTTCAGTGACAAAAAGTTAAAAAGGTAAACGACCCCTGGATAGTTACATCCAGTCAAAGGCGACTGTGGGGTTGCAGCGCTCATCTCGCTTTCAGGCTGAGGGAGCCAGCGTTTGTCCACAGACAGGTTTCTGGGTCATGTGGCCAGCATGACTAAACTGCTTCTGGTGGAACGGGACACCATGACAGAAACCAGAGCACACAGAAACACCATTTACCTTCCCACCGCAGTGCTACCTATTTATTTACTTGCACTGGTGTGCTTTCAAACTGCTAGGTTGGCAGGAGCTGGGACAGAGCAACGGGAGTTCACCCCATCGCGGGGATTTGAAGCGCCAACCTTCTGATCAGCAAGCCCAAGAGGGCTCAGTGGTTTAGACCACAGCACCACCCGCATAGCCAACTTTCTTGTTCTCACCACAGAATGGCTGAAATCCTGTCTGATTGGTAACTGGGCACATCTATCCTCTGTAATATCTGCTACCAACTTTGCAGACAAAAACATAACTCATCAAGATTGGGTCAGCCCCACGTGCTATGTGTCTTAGTTGTAGTCTCAACATTGTGATACTGGAGACTCAGCAGAGAGAGAGAGAGAGAGAGAGAGAGAGAGAGTCCCCAAACAGCATTACTTGCTGGTGTGGAAGGTTTGTTCCCATGTCCATTCCCATGTAGGGCCTTTCCTGCCACTTGTGTCTTTGCTCAGTGGATGATGTGGTTGCAACCCTTTTTGCTGAGTGATTCAGACATATTTCAATAATAATAATAATAATAAGAAGAAGAAGAAGAAGAAGAAGTTATTATTTATACCCCGCCCATCTGGCTGGGTTTCCCCAGCCACTCTGGGCGGCTTTCAACATAATATTAAAATACAATAATCTATTAAACATTAAAAGCTTCCCTTAAACACGGCTGCCTTCAGATGTCTTCTAAAAGTCTGGTAGTTGTTTTTCTCTTTGACATCTGATGGGAGGGCATTCCACATGGCGGGTGCCACTACCGAGAAGGCCCTCTGCCTGGTTCCCTGTAACTTGGCTTCTCGGAGCGATGGAACCACCAGAAGGCTGTTGGGGCTGGACCTCAGTGTCCGGGCAGAACGATGGGGGTAGAGACACTCCTCCTCCTTCTAACTGCTAGCAATATTCAATTTTGCCACCACTAATACTTTTCTTTATCCTGCATCCGTCCTTCCCTGCAAGGGTGCCAACTTGAATAAAATATTGAAGGGGGGGGCCTAGGCAAGCCCTGCACCACATAATCGATTACATGATGCGGTGCGCACACACCATTTGAATGGCAGTGCCCATCAACTGGGGGGGGGGATCCCCTCAAATATTTTATGGGGGTCCCAAAGACCCCCTCAGTCCCTAGGAGTCGGCCCGCATGCTTCCCCTTGAACTTGAGTGTCAATTTCAGATTTAATTATAATTTTCAAATTAGATTCAGAGAATTGCTTTGGAATACTGATTAGCGTTACAAATGCCAAGCTGCAGATCCCTCAAAATAAACTGCAGATTCACAACTAGCGGGTGCTCAGCTAAGCAGCTGCCTCTGAAAACTCTTCATGAGCAGAACACCCCAGGGCTGGCTGATGCTTCACCCTGCTGGTTTTTTAATTTTTATTTTAAGTAACCACGTGGCAAAATAAAAGAAACATTAAATGTTGGGTCCTCTCTTGGCCATCATGCCAATGGCAAGTATCGGGTGAAGTCTATGCAGCAGATTGGAACTCTGTTGCAATTTCAATATGAAGCAATTGCAGTGACAATCTCAGATCTGGTCAACGGCTAAGCATGGGATTAACTTCATCCCTTTCAGCATCCTGAAAGAATTGCCTTTGAAGGAACCTGCAATTAACCCAGCAAGCACATGTATGGGCAGCTAGCCTAGTGGTGCGCAGCTTAGCAGCTTAGGGACTCAGCCTTTCCCCCACTGCACTCCTGGAGAAGAAAGGGTCAAAGTGAGCAGATAGGAAGGAAAACAAATGTTCAAGAGGATGAACCACCCACTCTCACTAGTAAGTGCTGTTGTTTCTCACCTCACTCCAATTTTCATGCAGTAGAAGGGTGAAGATGGGAAATGGTTGCTTGATTTGCTAGCAAGCAATGGAAGATGTTGGGTTGGGGTCAGGGGTGCTAACTTGAATAAAATAGGGGGGCAGGGCTCCTGCAGAATCGATCACATGTCGTGGTTCACGCACACCATTTGACTTCCAATGCCCATCAACTTTGGGGCCCCCCGGCTCAGTCAAGTATTTTATGGTGGGGGGAAGGAATCTCAGCTCCTAGGAGTTGGCTCCTATGGTGGGGGTGGGATGAGTAGTTAACCTTCCAACACCTATTCCTGCCCAAAACAAGCTGCCTGTAGAAGTAGCTGCTGCTGACCTAGCCAAAGCCAGCATTACTTACCTGTGCAAATGTCAGCTCTTCTGTGGTCTCTTCACCTAGATGACAAACTCAGGACTGGTCAATGGCTAAGCAATGGCTTCATCTCTGCTGCTACAGGTGCAGAAAGATGGTTTGCTTCTCCCTTCTGAAGGTGATGATGTTTGTATTCAACGGCATAATATTTGTGAGTATGCAAGGTGGATGGTGAGTATGCAAGGTGGATGGGATGCGGGTGGCGCTGTAGGTTAACCACAGAGCCTAGGGCTTGCCGATCAGAAGGTCGGCGGTTCGAATCCCCACGATGGGGTGAGCTCCTGTTGCTCTGTCCCTGCTCCTGCCAACCTAGCAGTTCGAAAACACGTCAAAGTGCAAATAGATAAATAGGTACCACTCCGGCGGGAAGGTAAACATTGTTTCCATGCGCTGCTCTGGTTCGCCAGAAGCAGCTTAGTCATGCTGGCCACATGACCCAGAAGCTGTACGCTGGCTCCCTCGGCCAATAAAGCAAGATGAGCACCACAACCCCAGAGTCATCCGCGACTGGACCTAATGGTCAGGGGTCCCTTTACCTTTACCTTAAGGTGGGTGGTAGCCCAGGATGGCGCGGCGGGGTGGGCCAAGCAGTGGAACAGATTCATAAACTTGCACCTGTGCAAAAAGTGTACAATTATGATGGAGAAGATCAAAGCTGAGTTGACCCTGAGCCAGTCATTATCCCACTCCTCTGATTACCATTGTGGGTGAGATGGGAGAGTTTGCAAACAAGCCTACCAACTCCATCCCTCCTTCATGCCCCCATCACCGTTCCCACAGCCCTCCATGTATAGGGGGCTGAATGTCTGCACTAGGGTTCTTGCTGCACTGAATTAGGATCCCTGCACCATGTGGTACCTTGATCTCCCAGGTTTCTTCTGCTATTGGGCTCCCCAATCACACACACACTCCAAATGTGGGAGGCTATGGCGGCTGTGTGGGGGTGGGGTGGGCTTTCCTCCTCAAGTGATGGTTATTGTGTGTTTGTTTATATGGAGAGTAAAATGAGTGAGTAAGGCCTATTGTGAAAATACCCAAAGTAGAAAAGCTATCTTCATACATTCCATGGTTTTTCTTAAAAGGGACCCCTGACCGTTAGGTCCAGTCATGACCAACTCTGGGGTTGCGGCGCTCATCTCGCTTTATTGGATCAAGTACGGTTAAGATGTATGTTTGTTTGTCTGTCTAAAAATTTTGGAAAACCAATAAATTTTTTTGAAAAAAAGAAGTTTTCACCACTGAATTTGGAAAAAAACACTGTTTAGAATGCTACCTAGCTTCTATAAAGGTAAAGGGTAAAGGGACCCCTGACCATTAGGTCCAGTCGTGACCAACTCTGGGGTTGCGGCGCTCATCTCGCTTTATTGGCCGAGGGAGCCGGCGTACAGCTTCCGGGTCATGTGGCCAGCATGACTAAGACGCTTCTGGCAAACCAGAGCAGCGCACGGAAATGCCGTTTACCTTCCCACCAGAGCGGTACCTATTTATCTACTTGCACTTTGACGTGCTTTCTAACTGGTAGGTTGGCAGGAGCAGGGACCGAGCAACAGGAGCTCACCCCATTGCGGGGATTCAAACCGCCGACCTTCTGATCGGCAAGTCCTCGGCTCTGTGGTTTAACCCACAGTGCCACCTGCGTCCCACATGGTTTTTCTTAGGGCACAGCTAAATGTTGCAAAGACAAAAACCACACGATTCCATTCAACTGCATATGTCTTTTATAACGGGGCGTTCACTGGGGAGAAATAGGGATTGGAAGGGATGCAAATGCACCCCCAGGCTTATTGTATTGTCTTCCGCACCCCCTCAACTGGACACAAAGGCCAGGAGAAAAAGGCAAACTGTGTGGGGGAAAAACGCTTGGGAGAATTGGCAAGGGGGAAAATGGTTAAGCCCCCTCTCCTACCTGCAGATGCCCCAAGCCCTGTATTTACTGGCATACATGTGATTAGGAACATGTATTAACATGTTAACATCCTCAAAAGTGGATGTGAAGAGTTAAGGAAGCTGGAAACCTCTCTATATGTACAAAAGCTAGCGGAATGACAGAGTTCACTGCAGAATGGCAGCTTCCTAGATGAAAAATGGCACTTTCTTACCTCTGTTCTCTCCCTTGCCTGTCCAGCTGGGGGGCCTGGCTTTGCTGGGCATTGGCATCTGGGTGAAGGTGGACGGCGGTTCCTTTGCGAAGGTCCTAGGAGCCGCAGCTCCACAGTTAATGCAGCTGATCAACGTGGGCTACCTGCTAATTGCTGTTGGCACCTTCCTCCTTCTCATGGGCTTCATGGGATGCTGGGGGGCCGTGAAGGAAAGCAAATGTCTGTTGCTTGTGGTAAGTGCCTTAATTAAAATTGGGAAGGAAACTCTCCCTGGGCCAGGCTTGGGTGTCATGGAACTTCTGCTCGGCTACGGGATTACACAAGGGCTTTTGCACATTCTGAGTGAAATTTGTGCATCTGGGTCGAGTCTCTGAGTGTTAGCAGCAGCTAGTACATGGGTAGGCAAACTAAGGCCCAGGGGCTGGATCCGGCCCAATAACCTTCTAAATCCAGCCTGTGGACGGTCCGGGAATCAGCGTGTTTTTACATGACTAGAATGTGTCCTTTGATTTAAAATGCATCTCTGGGTTACTTGTGGGGCCTGCCTGGTGTTTTTACATCAGTAGAAGATGTGTTTTTATTTAAAATGCATCTCTGGGTTATTTGTTGGGCATAGGAATTTGTTCATTTATATATTTTTTTCAAAACATAGTCTGGCCCCCCCATAAGGTCTGAGGGACAGTGGATCGGCCTCCTGCTGAAAAAGTTTGCTGACCCCTGAGCTAGTAGCTCCAATATACCATCATGCCTAGGGGCTCCTAAGGGGTTGATGCATTTGAGCAAGGCCCCTGAAAGTGCTTTTTTCCTAGGAAAAATGGTGCTGGTATGCACCATGCAAGGAAGAGCTCTCAGCACTGGTGAATGAACGTGGGGGCGGGGGGGAGTGCCATTCCGGGGGGTGCCATCGCGGCCGCCCCCGTGACGCGCACCGCTCGCTGCGCACGCCTGTGCCTGGTGCCACGCCCCTACGACGTGTGCCAGCCGCGCCCCCGGCTGTTCACTGCTCAGGGTGGCAGAGCATGTTGCTCCGCCAGTGGCTCTCGGACCCTGCCACAGCATTGTGGCTCCCTCCTTAAGCTGGGCAGAAGCTTCCTAGGCTTTGGGAAAGAGGCAAGAGATGTCTGACAGCAGCCCTTGTAGCCCTCCTGTCTCCTTTCCAAAGTTGGGCAGGCTTTGGGAAAGAGGTGTGAGGCTCTGATTTGGGTTGGGGGGGTTGCTAGTACTGCATACTACCAGAAAAAAGCACTGGTCCCTGCACTTCCTGATCTTTGCAGGAGTCCTCCCAGGCTTCCCTGCACACATTCCTCTCAGGTCAGTAACATGTAGAGCATTTAGCATGGATGCCTTCTGATCGGCAAGTCCTAGGCTCTGTGGTTTAACCCACAGCGCCACCCGCATCCCTAATATACATCTAGTCACTGCCAATTTGAAAACTTGTGGGGCAGGAGGAGGCTTCATATTACACCAGTCAAATAAAACCTCAGAATTAAAAAGGAAAAGTAAAAAGAAATGGATGTTGCCCTCCCACAAAAACCTAATTTTTGCCCAGTGTGAAACATGATAACCAAAGCTGGTAATGTTTGCTGTTGTGCACTTCCAGGGATTTTTTTTAAAAAGGTGTACACTTACAGGTACAGAAATACCTGCATGCGTGCATGACCAGAACAGAGAACCTCTCCTGGAGGTTGGGGAAGGAATGATTGAGAGAAGGGCCTAAAAAAACACAACCCGGGTACATTCTGTTAAGCTTCACTTGTTGGTAGGGATGGCATTGCAGAATAGCAATTAATATCCATGGCTAAAAAAAGACCCCAGGAATGTGCAAAGGTGGAAGGAATTTGTCACAGAAAAATCTGATTTTATGACTCGTTTGTGATATAAGGCTCCCCTTTCAGAAGCACCTTTAAACTTTCAGTTATATTGAGAATGAGTGAAATCTGACCTTTTCCATAGGTGCACATAGACTCTTTTGAAAAGCTATTGCAGAGAAAGAGCAACTTTGGCTCCCAGGAGGCTGAACTAATTAGATTCAGCCAATGTTAACAAGACTCCCTTGGTCAGGTGGGCGGTGAACCGACTGCCTTTGAAGTTTTGAATTCACTGAACATGTTCATAAGCAGTACAAAGGCCTCTCCAACCTACGTTCTTTATAAAAGATCATAATATATAGCCATCAGAGTTTTAAAACTTCAGAGGTAAAGGGTCAGGCATAATTTATAGGTGACTTAATGGGCAACTGCAGATGTTATGCTAAACCATCGTTTAACATTCCGAGAACAAGCTGCCTTGGTTTATGTGCCCCCAGCCACAAGCAGGAGCCTGGAAGCTGGTGAAAATGAATGGCAACGTTTTTCTTCCCCCAGACAAATTGTAGTACATCTTTGTTTAAAACGAGCCATCTTAAAACCATAAGATTCTGAAGCTGGCTTGTTTCTACATAGCTAAGATTAACCATAGTTTAGAAGCTGGGTTAAACCACAGAGCCTAGGACTTGCCGATCAGAAGGTCGGCGGTTCGAATCCCCGCGACGGGGTGAGCTCCCGTTGCTCAGTCCCTGCTCCTGCCAACCTAGCAGTTCGAAAGCACGCCAGTGCAAGTAGATAAATAGGTACCGCTCCGGCGGGAAGGTAAATGGCGTTTCCATGCGCTGCTCTGGTTTGCCAGAAGAGGCTTAGTCATGCTGGCCACATGACCCAGAAGCTGTACGCTGGCTCCCTCGGCCAATAAAGCGAGATGAGCGCCGCAACCCCAGAGTTGGTCACGACTGGACCTAATGGTCAGGGGTCCCTTTACCCTTTACCTTTATAGAAGCTGGGTAGCATTCTAAACAGTGGTTTTTCCAAATTCAGTGGTGAAAACTTCTTCTTTTTTTCAAATTTTTTTATTGGTTTTCCAAAATTTTTAGACAGACAAACAAACATACATCTTAACCGTACTTGATCCAATCTTAGTGTCAGGGAACTGCCATCAGTGCCGGAGGGAGAGAGCAAAATCCAGAGGGATTCCAGAGAGCGTCCCGGGATTGTGAGAGGCAGCCCATCTTCTGGGGAAGAGAATCAGCGTAGCACCAGTGGAGAAGGGGGGCAGATGGGGGAAGCGGCGAGGCGGTCCCATGACTCCTTGCCGGGGACCAGCGGGGAGAGTAGAGGTCCTCCGCTGCCTACGCCCTCCTTGCGCAGAAGGCTTTCGCGCAGAGAGAGTAGGAGGAGACTAGGTGTCAAAGAGCTTCTTTGCTGGAAGAAGTCCAGCTTCTACCTAGGGTTTTAATAGGTCATAAGATTATACAGCGATTGAGACAGCCACGGGTGAGTGGCTGTCCGGACAGAAAAGGTTCACTCAGGCAACCCAGCCAGGTGTTTGCACCGGCTTACGCACGAGCAACCCCAGAACCACTACACTTAGTAACATTGTTAAGTGACTTCCTCAAATCCCCCTGGCTGAATTTCAGTGTATATCATTGTAACAGTTTTCCAAAACCTATTTTCTCATAAAATTAACTTAATCACTTAACCTCTTACTTTGTTTTCATTTTAACTTTAAACATATTATTCTCTAAAATTACATAATTAAATCCTAAGCCTATCTGGAATTTGGAAGTTTTTCCAATTAAGCTATCTTAGCATATTTAAGTAAATAGTCTTTAAATTTCATCCATTCCTCCTGGTACTTCTCCACCTTTTGGTTGCGGACTCTTCCAGTCAGATCAGCTAGCTCCGAAAAGTCCATCATCATCTTCATCTGCCATTCCTCCACTGTCAAGACTTCTTCTGATTTCCAATTCTTAGCTAACAAAATTCTAGCTGCAGTTGTGGGAAAACTTCTGATCTCTTTGTTGTGCTTGTGGCACAGGGTGTGGAAGGCCAAATTTCACTACAGCTTGCTCTCGTGTTAAACAATGGGTAGGAAACCTTTTTCAGAGTGACAGCAACTAATCTAAATTTCACCTTTGTATAGTTGGCTAGTTTTACACACACTCAAATGTACCCCTTTATCTTCCACCCAGAGAAGTAACGGGTATCATCAGAGTTCAAAGACACATTCCAGTCAGGCAAAGACACTTGACGGTAATAATAATAATAATAATAATATAATAATAATAATAATTTATTATTTATACCCCGCCCATCTGGCTGGGCTTCCCCAGACACTCTGGGCGGCTTTCAACGTTCTACAGGGAGGGCGCCACTACTGAGAAGGCCCTCTGCCTGGTTCCCTGTAACTTGGCTTCTCGCAGTGAGGGAACCGCCAGAAGGCCCTTGGGGCTGGACCTCAGTGTCCAGGTAGAATGATGGGGGTGGAGACGCTCCTTCAGGTATACTGGACCGAGGCCGTTTAGGGCTTTAAAGGTCAGCACCAACACTTTCTTTCAAGACCGGTGTTATACGGTCTCGGCGGCCGTTCCCAATGTGAAATAGGACCAGTGAGGGATGTGGCAGAGGAGGTGTAGCTTGAGAAGAGTCCCACGGGCCAAATAAAGAAGTTTGGAGGCTGCATTTGACTCCCAGGCCTGAGGTTCCCCACCTCTGTACTAAACTATGGTCCACTAAGATCTGTACTGGGGACTGGTGCTTTTAAACCTATTAAATTATCTGGGGTTAGATGTTAGTAGTGATGTGCCCAGGTTTGCCCATTACCTCGAATTGCATTGATTACTTTAAAAACAGCGTGAAAGCGGAGTGGAAATATTTGTGCTATGACAGATCTTACCATAAAACCTCGTTTGCATCAGAGAAATAAAGGCACCACGAGAACAAACCTTTTCAAAGGCTTTCTAACCTGAAGTCGTAGGCCATTATATGCTGAATGGTGAAGAGAATGGGCAGCCGTTCCACTTTGAGTCCCCCAAGCTCAACTAAGTTTTATTCACAGTTCTTGCTCAACTTCGTTATATTCATTAATTTCAACGAGTCTCCTCTGAGTAAATCTTCACCGAATAGCACCCTCAGGTGATCTCTCCCCTGGCATTTATGAGCTCTCTCCTTTTTTTTGCTAATTGTGGATTCCTCCTCCCTTTCCCTCTGTTTCCAGTTCTTTGTGGTCATACTGATTCTCTTCATAGCAGAAGTGGCCGGTGCTATCGTGGTGCTGCTTTTCTCTTCTGTGGTAAGTCAGTGCTAGCATCTGGAGTTTGTGGCTTCTGCAATTGGAATTTTGCAGCAAAAGGATCCCTGACTAGAAGTAGAATCTGTGTTGTTTACCGACAGGAGGCAACACAACACCACCTCTTAATTCTCACATTGTTTCTGGATTAAGGTTTCCCACTAGCTTCTGAAAAATGCTGGGGGGGGGGGGAAGCACCAGATTTAGGGTGATGGGGGCAGTTTCCCTGCACAGGGCATACAAGAGTATGCAAAACTATGATATAGTGGACGAGAGCATGCACAGTATGAAAGGGGAGAGGGGGAAGGGTGCCAAATTTTATCCTTGCTCAGCACACCATATTACAAAAATCTGCCCCTGGAAAGGGGGAGGGTTAGCACCCCCTTAGCATAAGCAACAAAGAGTGGCACTTAGTAGCCAGCAGAAGCTAAATAATAGTCATAGTAATAGTACAGTAATAGTAATAATTTATTTATACCCCGCCCTCCCCGGCCAGAGCCAGGCTCAGGATGGCTAACACCAATAAAACCACAGTAAAAACATAATTTTTGAATTATGGTGCTGGAGGAGACTCTTGAGAGTCCCATGGACTGCAAGAAGATCAAACCTAGCCATTCTTAAGGTAATCAGTCCTGAGTGCTTACTGGAAGGACAGATCCTGAAGCTGAGGCTCCACTACTTTGGCCACCTCATGAGAAGAGAAGACTCCCTGGAAAAGACCCTGATGTTGGGAAAGATGATGGGCACAAGGAGAAGGGAACGACAGAGGACGAGATGGTTGGATAGTGTTCTGAAGCTACCAGCATGAGTTTGACCAAACTGCGGGTGGCAGTGGAAGACAGGAGTACCTGGCGTGCTCTGGTCCATGGGATCATGAAGATGTGGACACAACTAAATGACTAAACAACAACAAAAACATAATGGGGGAAAAGAGAGGGGGGAGAGAAAAGAAAAGAAACCAATTTAAAATACAGGTTAAAATGCAATTTAAAATGCAGCCTCATTTTAAAGTAGCTGATAAATCAAGACCATAAGGGGAGGGAAACATAAGAGTCAGACTGAGTCCAAACCAAAGGCCAGGCGGAACAGCTCTGTCTTGCAGGCCCTGCGGAAAGATGTCAGGTCCCGCAGGGCCCTAGTCTCTTGTGACAGAGCATTCCACCACATCGGGGCCAGTGATGAACAGGCCCTGGCACTAGTTGAGACCAATCTAACCTCCTTGAGGCTCGGGACCTCCAAAGTGTTGTTATTTGTGGACCTTAAGGTCCTCCGCGGGGCATACCAGGAGAGGGTATTAGAAGGGCTAGTGTGTTTTTCTGTGGACTGAAATTCCATAAGGTGGGCACCAAAACAAAAACGTCTTTGCTCCATGCTCAAATGATTCTACAGCAAATGATGAAAAGCAGAGCAAGGTCTCTCACTTGTTGCCAACATTAAATAGTCCTTCCTGAACAAGAAAGGTCTTGTCAACCTTTCCCCATGTCTCCTCTTTTTTGGGAGTTCTGTCAGTTCCTTAACTCTGTGCATGATCCATTCATCTTTTCCTGTGGTTCCTGACTTCCTGCTGTCTCCCCAGTCCTTGAGCCTCTCTTCTTCTGGGCCTCCTCCCCACTTACTTTCCTAGCTGTCAGCCTCCAAGTGCGCCCTATATTTGTGTTGCCTCCTGCTACAGCACTCTTCTTGGCTGGGCACTATTTTCTTCAGCCAAATTGATCTTTCTATTCCTAAAGCTGTGTTTCCCCCCAACATTCTGTTTCATTATATCTGCTGAATTCAGCATGTTTGTGAACATTCCATGACTTCCATAGCTCATCCAGTGTCAGAGAAGAAGGGCAAGCAACAGTTTTAACCTATTGTATAAAACATGAGTGGAAGGAAGTCCTGGTTTTATGGTTTTTTATGGAAGTTATGATTTTCTTACTCACCTGTTTCCTGGTTGCAGGCAAATATATTTGTTGAGCACTTGCAAAATTGGGCCCTGAAGACTTTAAAAGAGGACTACGGCAAGCAAGAGGACATCACAGGAATTTGGGCAACAACAATGAAAGAGGTGAGTGAAGTTTGTTGTTGGGGGCACCCATCTATCTCGGGATAAATCCTAATTTCTGGTGTTGTAAGACGGAGGTTTTGAAAGAGCCTCCAAATACTTTTTGAAATGTTTTGAAATGTGCCTTGAGCTTTGTGGATGCCGTAAAACTCAGTCAAGAGATTTATTGCTTGACTGGTCATAAACGCATCACAGTAGCACTATTTACAATCATTATAAAAGGTAAAGGGACCCCTGACCATTAGGTCCAGTCGTGGCCGACTCTGAGGTTGCGGCGCTCATCTCACTTTATTGGCCGAGGGAGCCGGCGTACAGCTTCCGGGTCATGTGGCCAGCATGACTAAGCCGCTTCTGGTGAACCAGAGCAGCACACGGAAAGGCCGTTTACCTTCCCGCCGGAGCGGTACCTATTTATCTACTTGCACTTTGATGTGCTTTCGAATTGCTAGGTGGGCAGGAGCAGGGACCAAGCAACGGGAGCTCACCCCGTCGCGGGGATTCGAACCGCCGACCTTCTGATTGGCAAGTCCTAGGCTCTGTGGTTTAACCCACAGCACCACCCACGTCCCACAATCATTATAGCAACAGCTTTAACGGCATAGTTAACTTTCAGTCCCTCTTTCTGTTTTGAACAGCAAGACACAGGCAGACACAGTATGATGCAGCAGTCTGCAGACAGCATCTGTTGGTCAGTCACCTGCAAAAATCAAAAACGAAAGTTCTTTTATCGGCACTTCCAGCTGAAGCTGCGCATGCCCTGAGTACCACTCCCACTTACATACGACTGTTCTGGGATCTTCTCCCTGTTTCTGGATGAATGACTCCCTAACAGATAGTCCTTAACTGGTCTCCTTCTGATTTTTGTGGCAGTTCAACTATCATCTGAACAGCTGGTGTAACCAGTTTTGTGATTGAAGGAAGATGAACACGTGTGCTTTTTTAAAAAAATTTTTTTACAGCGAACGTCTTTCTTGACGCTTCCTGTACTGCAACACTAAGGCTGTGTTCACAACACTGTCATTTACTGTGCACTCACTTGTGTTTCCAGTGCTGGGGTTTTTAAGCCATTTCCACGGGACGTTGCCCAAAATGTTTATGTATCTTGTACAGTGGTACCTCTGGTTGCGAACGGGATCCGTTCCGGAGGCCCATTCGCAACCTGAAAAGAACACCACCCGCCTCTGTGCATCTGCACACGCGCGGGTCGCGATTCGCCACTTCTGCGCATGTGTGTGACGTCATTTTGCACGTCTGCACATGCGCGAGTGGTGAAACCCAGAAGTAACTCTCCGGTACTTCTGGGTCGCCGTGGGACGCAACCTGAAAACGCACAACCTGAAGCAAACGTAACATGAGGTATGACTGTACTTTGATTAAGTTACTGCAGCTTGATGTGTTGTTTCTCAAGCCAGCTTCACAAAGATTGGAGTCCTTAAGTCATTCCTAATTCAAATAGCCAAGGTGTGCACACCTTTGCAATTGATAAAGGCATTCCTGCCCTGACAGCATCCCCTGGTGTGAACACAGACAGAAATAAATTGAAGCTGTGCTTTTGTGAAGAGCGGGGGGGGGGGGGTTTAGAGCTGTGAAACATGTTGTGGGGGACAATTTCATTGCACTTTAAGGCAGTAATGCAAGTACACCTTAAGCCCGGCATCCCCAAACTCGGCCCTCCAGCTGTTTTGGGACTACAACTCCCATCATCCCTAGCTAACAGGACCAGTGGTCAGGGATGATGGGAATTGTAGTCCCAAGACATCTGGAGGGCCGAGTTTGGGGATGGCTGCCTTAAGCCAACAGAACAGGAAGCTGCTCTGCACAACTGCTCTCCTTAGATCAGGGGTGGGAAAATCATTTGCCCTCCTGATATTGTACGACTCCAGCTCCCATCATCCCTGACCTTGCTGGCCATGCTGACAGGGACTAATGGAACTTGTAGTCCACATCTGGGTGGGCACCGCATTGCGTGTCCTTGCCCAAGCATTTCTTTTTTGTTCAACAGCTGCTTCCCAATCTCGAATGTGCATGCAATATAAAATAGCTACTATAAAACAAGATGGTCATTTCTCTGTTTGTAGCTGAAATGCTGTGGATTCAACAACTACACTGATTTCAACAATTCCTACTTCTATCAAACACACACTGAGAAATACCCCTCCTTTTGCTGCTCAGACAACAAAGAGTGCCAGGAATCCGAAGTAGACCACGACAAACAGGTAACGGCTTCCCAGAGATCACAGACTCCATGCATTTGTGTAATTGTGTGCCATGGGCCACCTAAAAAAAGGAGCTTAAAGCAAACTCAGCCCCATCAGTCTTTGTGGCAGGGGAAAACAACTGGCAAGCCAGAACCTTCTAGGTCAACTACAACTAATCTGGAAAGTAAGAAATGATAGTAAGAGTTCTCTTCTGTCAATAGAGAAGATCAGAGGCTGAAGTTGGAATCATCCATGTGTTACAATGGGGGACAAGTGTGTGGAGGCTGCTTACATATTTCTGAATGGTGCTGATAGTGCTGCTAACCAATGAACTGGTTTATTTGTAGCAATGAGTTCCAGAGATAATTAGGATCTGGCAGTATTCAGAATGGATAGTCAACATAATTGCAAAAACACAACATACCCCACCAACCATGGGTGCTGTTACAGACACACTGAAGAGATATTTATTCCCCAGGTGAGCAAGGGAGGCAAAGTCAGGGCAGCGCAAGAAACATACTGGCTTCTATGGTGTCTGTACCAATATGCCAACATATATTAACCAATTTTAAAAAACATACAAACTTCGTATAATCCTCCAATTTAACCCTCAAAGCAATATTTTATGTTCCAGAGCTCCCAAATGTGGTGCCTTTAAAGACATGTAATAATTATTTTTATAAAAATGAATTTCTTATAGTTAGGAAAATAGTTAACAATATAATTTAAATCTCCCCCCCAAAATTGTTTTTATTGAATTTCAGAATATTAACAAAGACAAAAAGGGAAAGCCAGTTTCTTAGGCATACCAAAACTAAAGTAAATCGAAGTCATTAGAATCTATCAGCTCATCCAAAAAACCCTCAACTCTTTTCTACCAGACAGATAATAATACACTTTACCATTAATGTTGCAGCCTTTTAGAAGGCTCTGTCTTTTGCTGTTATGCCCTATTATTCTTATTAAGAAAAATCCATGAAGTTACATTTGCTGGCAACCTGATCCAAGAACTGGTGTGTCTATAGCATTACTAAAAGTCAAGATATGTAAGCTTAATATGGAAGTATCAGTGGTAGTAAGCATATTTCTGAAGCGGTCTCTTTTGCATAATGTATTTATGTCTCCTTCCAGGGCTGCCTGAATGAATTCCAGGTGTTCCTGAGCCGCAATGGGAAAATTGTTGGAGGGGTGGCTCTAGCTATTGGAGTCCTTGAGGTAAGCTCACACATATATGGCTTGATCACCCCAGGTGCTTCCAGAAGGTCAGCATTTTGCATACCAGAACATTAGGGTTGTGCAGTTTAAAGTGGATTAAAGGACATTGTTGTACAAGTCCACAAAACAAGAGCTTTTTGTGGTTTTCAAAAGTGCCAGGGAAATGCCTTGAAAAGGGTAGGATGAACAAATGATTAATGGGGAGATGCTTAACAATCCCATTAGCAAATCAGGATTGATGCTCGTTGGCATAAAACCACCCCATAAAGAAACCGGAACAAATGTTCAATAAAGATCAGACATAGTCCAATGGGACTATGTTTCTCTAGTCCAGGGGTAGGCAACCTAAGCCATTCGCCTTCTCAATCCAGCCCGTGGACAGTCTGGGAATCAGCGTGTTTTTACATGAGTAGAATGTGTGCTTTTATTTAAAATGCATCTCTGGGTTATTTGTGGGGAATTCCTTCATTCTGCCCCCCTCCGCAAAAAAAACAGTACAGTCCAGCCCACCACATGGTCTGAGGGACAGTGGACTGGCCCACAGCTGAAAAAGGTTGCTGACCCCTGATCTAGTCCCTACTACACCGCTTGCTAGTGAGCTACTGCACTGCTAGCATTCAAGGCCCTAAATGGTTTGGGACCTCAGTACCTCCCCCAATATCAACCACCTTGGACTGATTGTAGATTGGTGGTGCTGCCATTAGGAGTTGCCCAGTTGGCAGAGACCTGGGGCATGGCCTTCTAGGTGGTGGTCCTCTGTTTTTAGTATGCCCTTTCTAGTGAGGTCCATCAGTCTTCCTCACTACAGTGGTACCTTGGTTCTCAAATGCCTTGGTTCCCAAATGCCAAAAAATTAGAAGTAAGTGTTCTGGTTTTCAATCATTTTTTGGACGCCGAACAACCGATGCGATTGTCGGCTATTGTTTCCAGGGCATCTGCACCACTCAGAAGCTGTGCCTTCTTTTTCAAACATTTCAGAAGTCAAACGGACTTCCGGAATGGATTAAGTTTGGCGCTTTTGTTTTCGCTATTTATTTTGCGTTTTTGTTTTTGAGGCTTTTTTCGGTTAATTTGTTTTTGTGGAACCCAGTTCAGCTACTGACTGATAGATTTTGTGACTGCAGAAATGGATAAAAGCCCCCCATCCAAACAATGACTATCATCAGTGTAGGTAAGGAAAAAATAATAATTTTAAATTTTATCATCTACAATACCGTCTTATTTCTTTTATAGTACAGTACATTGATTATTGCTTTCATTTTATGGATCAATGGTCTCGTTAGATAGTAAAAATCATTTTAGGAGTTGTTTTTAAAAGTCTGGAATGGATTAATCCTTTTTGCATTACTTTCTATGGGAAAGCGCGCCTTGGTTTTGGAACACTTTGGTTTTGGAACGGACTTCCGGAACGGATTAAGTTTGAGAACCAAGGTACCACTGTACTAACATTTAGGAGAACTTTAAAATCACTCCTGTTTACCCGGACATTTGATGGTGGAAACTTATGTCCATGGCAACCCTGAAATTATTAGTTTGAAAGGAGGTGATTGCTTTTAGGAGTTTTAAACTATTTTTAGGAGTTTTAACTGTATTGTTCTAGTACTGACAAGTTTGCTGCCGTGGGCTCTTCTGCGAGAAGGTGCAGGATGTGTATATAAACAGTATCACTTCCATGTGAACTTTGTGCAGTCTATTACCTCCTCCTGCTGTAATCCAGTTCCCAACTGATGTGTTTGCAGGAAATGCTAGCGTCGTGATGAGATAGTAAAAATGGCCAACAGCATTGTTCCATGTCTCCCAGGAGGGTCCTGTGTGTAAAATGCTCCCTCACCTGTCCTTTTGTCCCCTAGCTGGCTGCCCTGGCTGTCTCCTTGATCCTGTACTGTCAGATTGGTACATACGCCTGAAGCAAAATTGGCTACCTACCGCACAGCTCTGGCTCCAGCTCTTGGCTTCTGCACCAGCCATGAAAGAGACATCGCAAGCATCCTTATTCAAAGAGCAGATGCGGCAATCACTTTTACTGGATCAAAAGAGCGACATGATCCTCATCCTCATTCATAATTATTAGCTACTAATCCATCACTAATCATTAAACCCTAGTTTAACAGTACTTGCTTAAAAAAAAACACCCTGAAAAAAGATGTACACCTATTGTTTTGTGCTTCCTTTACCTCACGGAGTGGGAAATCCAGGGTAGCCTTTATATCTGTGGTTGGGAACATCCAGCCTGTGGGCTAAATATGGCCTCCCAGGCCTCTCCATCTCACCCTTGGGACTCTCTCAGGCCAGCCCTATTCTGCACCCTCCCTGAATCTGGCTGGAATCTGTCCCTCAACATAATAATGCCTCTCATTTGTGAGGCTATAATTTGGGCAGACGTCTCATTTTTAAGGTCCTTTGGCTCTGGTGTAATAGAGAATGAAAATTTTATTATACTTCGTAAAATGGGTATCTCACTTGATTGTGGGAAACCTCAAACCTGCATTCTTGCTTTCTGATTTGCGATGTAGGCTGAATTGTGTTTTCATCTGTACAGGCCTGCTATCGTATATGAGGGTGATCAGGTGTGCAGTTTTAGTGCAGGGGAGATTTAAACTATACAGTGGTACCTCGGGTTACAGACGCTTCAGGTTACATACGCTTCAGGTTATAGGCTCCACTAGCCCAGAAATAGTACTTCAGGTTAAGAACTTTGCTTCAGGATGAGAACAGAAATCGTGCGGTGGTTGTGCAGCAGCAGTGGGAGGCCCCATTAGCTAAAGTGGTACCTCAGGTTAAGAACAGTTTCAGGTTAAGAACAGACCTCCAGAACGAATTAAGTTCTTAACCTGAGGTACCACTGTGTGCAGTAATGGGACCTTAAATCAGGGGTGGACCAACTTTGATGGCCCTGAAGACCACATGAAGATGAGCCAGGGAGTCGGGGGCCACATATGCATGCAAACACACACACATATAATCCCCCCCAGCAACTGTTTTATGAACACACACACGCGCACTAGCTTCAGCATGTTCATCAGCTAAGTGGGGAGAAGACATATGAAGAGATTGCTGAGATCTCTTCTCACCATAGCTGTCAACCGTCCCTTATTTGGTGGGAAACTCTCTTATCCCAGCGCCGTGTCCCGCTGCTGTCCCTTATTGATGATGTCCCTTAAATTTCCCGGGTTTCAAGGAAGCAGTTCCTCTCCCTCCCTCCCCGCTGGTCAGGGAGGAGGGAGGCTCCAACTGTGTTGCTTGGCTGCGTTGCTCACCCAACAAGGAGTCTAAGAATGACTGGGGGGTGGAGCTTGCATGTCTTGTGCCGATCAAATTGGCCGCGTTGCCTGGGGACTCGCCTTTGCTCAGCGCTTCCCAGCGGAGAGGGGATGGTGGTTTTCCTTGCTGCATCCCCTTTGCCGGGTTGCTGCGCTTGAGGCTTTGTTTGGCTGCCGGCTGGGCTTTCTGCCTTTGGCTCGGAGGGGCTCAGAAGTTGAACATACTTGTGCCCGGAAAATCCCTTATTTTGGCTGCTGATCCCTTATTTTCGAGGCTGCTGGTCCCTTATTTTCAAATCTGTAAGTTGATAGCTATGCTTCTCACGCGTCTCTGCAGCCCAGTTGTTTGGTCCTGGACAGAGCTGAGGAGTACACCACTCGACAATGCTCCTCTTCTTTGATCACTCGTAGCCGAGTGAGATTGCCTTCCATGAACACAGTTTTAACAGTGAGTCCGTAAGTGACTGTGGAGGCCAATTCTGGATCCACAGTGGGGACATATGTTTCCAGGCAGAAGTTGATCACGGTGAGGGTTTGCCAAGCGTGCCTTCCTCTTAGCACGTTTCTCCCTTTCGTTCTGAGTTTGAGCGTCTTCAGAGCCCATGACACCTTTGGTAAAGGCTGTTCTCCAATTGGAGCACTTGCTGCCCAATCAGTTGGACAGTGGGGAGGGGCAAGATGGGATCTCAGCAAATCCCTTGTTTGCCTTCTTCCCAGTCCCCAGCTTATTGGTGCACACAATTTCACTACTCTCAGATGTGCAGCAGGCTGAGGGGAGCAGGATGGTGATGGGGAAGATGGAAGGTACAAAGGGACAATCATCATCATGTGCCTTCCTACCAACAACTGAGGGATGCTGTCAGGAGTCCCAGTTTCCGACTTGATAGCGCAGCAAGCATGGTTAATTAAAAAGGAAGATTTATTGCAAAAACAGAGTTCTCCAGATGGCTCTAACATGCCGCCATTCTCATTAATCATGATGACCCTTCTGAAAGCTGCTTCCGGCGAGACCAGAAGCAACTGAACTTACATTTTGTACTTCTTTTCCTATCTTGGAGCCCTCCCATTCGCCGAGACCTCGGGAGAGAGGGGGTCAGCTCCCTTCCCTTCCCCATTCGCTGAGAGGCTGTCTCTTAACTCTTTCCCACCTGTGTGTGCTTCCGGTGAGCTTTGACTGTGTTCTAGCTGGCTCCCTGCCATTGCCTTATCAGCCTGCATTCCAAGGGGCGGGGGACGATGCTCACCCTGCATGGCAGTTAACCCTCTCTGTTCCTGGCTGCTTCCTTCAATTGGCAGCAACCCTTCCCTGAGGGCTGGCTGCAAACCTTCCCTGGGGGTTGGCTCATTCATGACAGATGCACAAGTGCCACTGCAAAGTTCCTGGGATTTCAGGGAGGGAAGGGAGCTATGCAATCTGTTTGAGGCTGCATATGCCCTTTGGGCAGAGCATTTTCTGTGGACTTTTTCTCCTCTGTGCCTGCCTGCCTCTGCTCCCAGGCCCTCCCCAGATTGCCAAAATGTATTTCATTTCCATAGTTTGTAATCCCACCTCAAATTTTTAAAAAGTGAGATTGTTGCAGGCAATATCTGTTGAAAGTACAGAAATTAGTTGCTTAAGGATGTCAGCTTATTAAAGTACACTTAGTGATTAACCAGCTGTCAGTTGAAGGGTAGCGTACAAATTTAACAAATAATAATTTTCATATGAGCAGAACTTCAGTATACTTTGTTGAAATATTTAATTAGTGAAGGCTCCTGCTCATTGATAGGAGGGAAGCTAATCTGTATGTATTATATGACTTCATTTTTCCACATAACAAAGTAAAATATATATGTGTTTTTATTACAGTGTAATAAATAATAACCATCATTTCCCCTAATGATCACAATCCAGAACTTCCCTGATGTGTTGAGGTACCAGGCATCTAGTTCTACCTTCTTTGAGTAAAATTTATGTTGATGGAGGGAATGTAACATACATGTCTGGCTTTCGATCTTGGGCAAAAAGCTCTACTTGGGTTCGCAAAATGGTGGAGCGATGGGAACTGGGATGTACCGATTGGAGAGGAATAACCACCACGTCCATCAGAGTACAAAGTAATCAAGTCCAATCTGTTTTCCCTTGATCAATCCAAACAAGATGGACCAAGCCTTGGAGCACTACAAAGAACAAGAACATCCAACAACATGCTTCCATCACTCCCTCATTATTTCTTTCTTTTTTTTTTTTAATAATTTTTATTAACTGGCCAATCACATCAAATTAAATCACATCACATAAATTCCAAATTACAAAGCCAAATTTTTAAATTTTGTTGGGGGAACCCATACTTCAAGATCCAAAGGGGGATTCAAATCATCTTCTTATTACTGCATTAATGTCCAAATCAGTCCCAATCAGTCCAAACAGAGTTCATAGTTCTATCCAATCTTATCTTGGTGTTTCCACATCATATCTTGTTCATATAATTTCTCTTTTTCCTTTACGATCTCTTCTGTTAGTCTCCTTAAGCCGATAAGCAAATATAATAATCCTGTGTGAATTTCCCGTTCTTCCAATCTAAGTCCAGATGGTTTCCATATATCATCTCCTTCGTAGATAACATCGCTCTTTCCATCATAAATTAGGCAGTTCTCACTTTTAAGTCCCACTGAGGAGTTAGTCCACGATATGTAAACAACTCTGTTTCTCTCTTTCTCCTCCCAGACTCAAGAGCTCCGACAGTGCCTCCCAAAATGGCGACGGCATTTTTAACTGCGTCATTCCAAAACTCTTAAATTTCCAGCTTCGTCTTGGAACATTGCTTTGGTTCGAAAATTTATCTCCACACAGCCTTAAATCCACAACTTAAGTCCTTAAACCGACATTTCTGACTCATTAGGGGAAGGGGTTCTTGTTTAATCACATAGAGAAATAAAGGAGGGTTTTTCCCCCCTCCCCCTCAGTCATTTGCCGTACCGTATCTTGACGTATCTTCTCATATCTTATTCTTGTCTTGTTTTATCAGAGATCTCTTCTGTCAGCAGTCTTTACTCCCCCTTTTTCCTTGAAGTATGTGCAATTTATCTCGTCCAAATTGTTTCTTTTGAAGATTCTTGCAAACTAGTGGCGCGGATCAGAGACGGCATTGAGGAGTGCCGGAATCCCACAGGAAGGCTTTGTGCCTAGTGCCCCCATCCCCACAAATTCGGGGGTGGTATACAGCAGGCAAGGGCCGTCCCCCCCACAATCCTGGAGGGGTTAAGGAGGCTAATTACCCCCATCATAGCCTCCAAATTACCTCATGTGGGTCGGAGAGATGTTATTGTCAGCCATCTTCCAATGCGCCCCCTAGTGGCCCCCCCACTCCCTCATTATTTCAAGCCAGGCCCTCTTCTGTGGTCCCTGCCCCAGGGGATTATTTTGTCCTGTTTGGCCCAAACAACCTTGGCAAGCCAAACAGGGAAGCTTGGTTGGCCTTGACCCATTATGAGACTGTATTAGAAGTGCCGTTGTTCGGCTTCCGGTTCCAGTCTGCCTTAATGGAGGCAGCTTCCATGATAGTGGGAGATCATTGGCGAAGGAAAAACAAGGATGACTGAGGGTAATTATGCTTGCAAGTTTTCCCCAGAGACAGGGGGGAATGGGCTTCATTCACAGTTCATCTCAGTACCTGGTTCTCGCTCTGGCAGGGAATGTGGGAGGGGCTGAGTGCAAAAGCACTTTGCCTGCCAACACCCCCCCACTGCCATTAAGAAACAGGTTCTCCTGTTAATTAGAGCTTAATTTGGACTAAAGTACAGGCACATGCTAGAAGAGATGAGATCATAAACTGCGGAACAGAAACAGCTGCAAGGTTGTTAAGGTCTGAACTTGAGAGAAGACTTCATTCACTGTTAAAGACGGCGGAGGGGGGGGAGAGGAGTCTACGGCTTCTTTATATAAATAGTAATAATAATAATTTATTATTTATACACCGCCCATTTGGCTGGGTTTCCCCAGCCACTCTGCGCGACTTCCAACAAAAGATTAAAAATACACTAAAACATCAGTCATTAAAAACTTCCCTAAACAGAGCTGCCTTTAGATGTCTTCAAAAAGTCAGATAGTTGTTTATTTCCTTGACGTCTGATGGGAGGGTGTTTCACAGGGCGGGCGCCACTACTGAGAAGGCTCTCTGCCTGCTTCCCTGTAATCTCACTTCTCGTGGTGGGGGAACCGCCAGAAGGCCCTTGGAGCTGGACCTCAGGCTGAACGATGGGGGTGGAGACGCCCCTTCAGGTATACTGTGCCAAGGCCATTTAGGTCTTTAAAGGTCAGCACCAACACTTTG